TTCTATTCTATTCTATTCTATTCTATTCTATTCTATTCTATTCTATTCTATTCTATTCTATATATTGTTCATAAAAAACGAGCCCTGATGTTTCAGTGCTAAAACACAGGTATAGCACTTGCAGCTGGACTTGCTCATTTTGTGCCAATAATATGTTTCAAACAGTTTTGGTTTAGGAAGTTGTGTGAACATGGTTTATATCTTAGCAGCAGTGCAAACTCATCTGATCAGTGTTTTAAATCATAGTGAATAAACTATATTGCGTGATATGTGAATCCAGTTCCAGTTCATTATTTAGATTAATTTCTAAAAAAAAGAACCCAAGACAAATTCTTATACAAAAATAGTTACATATTATAAACTCTGGATTTTGGCCTGTTCCTTTCTCTTGACCACACATACAATAGAATCATGAAAATCTCTGATTTCCTCCCCAAGTCTAGACTAGGAATAGGGAGAAGTAAACAGCCCTTTTTTTTGGTAAGGTGTTTCTCAGGGATTTAGAGATTTTCCATTTAATGTTCTCACAGCTACAGCAACAATATCTGTCTCCTTTCTTCCAACAGCAGGTGCATAAGCAAGATGCTCAAGTAATTAACATTCAACTCCAGGCATTTTTGGATGACGTTGATTCTCAGGATCCATTTCAACTCAGATTTAAGTGCAGTTTTGAGACAGAAACAGCCATGATTTCCCCAGGGATGGCATTTACCAATAAAGAGACAGAATTCTTAGCTGCCCCTGAATCTCTCAGTAGCTCTCTTATCATCAATCACAGTCTATTTCTGAAATAGGCATCTAAGTTACAGATATAATTTTTGGTGATTCTGCTTCTGTTCAGGTGTCTAATTTGATATAATAATGCTGAAGGATTATTATTAGAGGATAATATTTGAAGGTTTTGTAGGTCTCTGTTTTATCCCACATGTTTTATTACTCCTACATGTACAGAGATTATAGTATCTGAGGATGTAGGCTGAGAGATCCTCAGCATATAGCTGAAGTTCAGTTATTTTTGTAATTTCACTTCATTCAAATGGAGACAATGAATGTCCTGAATCCGTGTCCAGCTGAGTAATGGACTGGACAAAGACCAAAGTTCAGTTCAGAAAGTTAGATATCCATTTAGTGAGAAATTCGACTGCCAAGTTTTTCTCTTCATATGCTACACTACTTTCCATTCTCTTTCTGAGTGCATTTCAAAACATGACTATTGATATTAAAACCCCAAAATAATTAAGGGGGCAGCATGTACAGTATCTGGAGGAATTATTTTCCCATGTATACTTATACCTTTGGGCCATTTTTGGGATTTCTTCTTTAGATACCTCTGTTGGCTAAAGTTAAATGGGTGACTATAAGAGAATGAGTGATCTTTTTAGCTCTTTTCATTTTGTCCATGAAATGTTCTATTTAGAAAGGCTTGTCTTTGATCCCCAGGGTTTTGAATGCAAAATGGAGATATTTCTGTTACTTCACACATTGTTGATTTAAATAACTGATTTACAGAAAAACATAATCCTTTGCCTTAGGTAATTAAACCCAAGAAAATGCTATTTTATATTCTTCATATTTATTTTGTCATGCTTTCTTTCTTTTTATGCAATATACCCATGGAAATGTATTATGACAAAAAAGTAATTGATCTGTCTTGGTGGGGGATGATGGAATTCTCACTGATGAACAAAGAAGAATTATAAAGTGTGGGCAGTTTAATATGGCTGCTCCCAAGGAAAACACTTAAATGTGTGTAACACTAATTCAGACTACATATCTTCTTACTCATATTGGTTTTCAGCTAATCAGCAAATAATTTCTTTTTGTTTGAATTATAAAATATTAGTTGAAGGAATCCAATTGTGTTTTCCACCAATTTTTCTGAATTAAAAAGAGGGCAGCATTGATAATCTTAATAAATGTACTATATTAAAAGACGGATATAGTTGGAAGATCATCAAGATCTGGAAACATCCATATTAGATCTGGATCACACAATTTGTTGATGGTTTTTTTTTGAGTTCACACTAAAATTAAAACACTGAAATTATATCTTGTACATTATGTGCAGTCATTTTTCTAAACAGAGTTGGCATTTAGTTGATTTGACACTTAATTCTTTTTATTCTCAAATTAAGCAGAATGAGATGAAACTGATCTTTTGCCAGGGCTAAATATAAATCTGAATATATCCATTATACAATAATTTATTAAAAATAAACCATGAATACATGCTACCATCCATGATGGAATGTAAATTATTTGTCTTGTTTATTGGATTTATGAAGCCATAATAGTTAAAACTAAATCAATGTATTTAGCGATAGTTGGGTATAGATATGCATATCTGAATATAGTATGTATCTGCAGATGGGAACCTGTGGCTTACCAGATGCTTCTGAAGTACATTTCCTAGCATTCCTCACCATTGGTGTTGCCAGATAAAATTACTGTACTGTACAGGGAAATGTAATTCAGTAATATCTGGAACCTTTGTTTCCTATCTTCCTGAAATATTTATGATGTATGGATATCGCTTATATCCTGCTCCTTGATTAACAGCTGTATTAATGGTATTAACAGCTTAGCTTCTCATTTTTAGAATCATTTCATTATATCTAAACTATCTATTTTACCATCTAATTCTTTGATCTGTTTGTGTTAAATACAGTAAATAAATATTAATATTTTAAGGAAGAGAATATAGTATTTTGTAATATAGGAAACACACACACACACATTCATATTCTGTATTCTCATATATTCATATTCAATTCTTTGTGTTAATTTTTCATCTATCAGGATATGTGAAACTATTTTCAGTATCTTTTTTCTAAATTTTAAGTAAATGTTTTATTCTAAAATCTTTCTTCTCATTTTATATGGGTTTGACTAAAATGTTTACAAATAACTGAAAAATTCCTTTTTTTATAACATTGATCTGCATGCTTGCTTGCTTATTTCTCTGCTAAAATATTTTTAATTTATACTTCTTAGGTCTACTGGCTTTCTTTCCTCACTGGAAACCAAAACATTATGATGTTATCGTAGGGATACTCTCTGCACGACACAATGATGGATTGCGGAATGCTATAAGGAATACTTGGTTTAGGCATTTGAAGCAGCATCCAACATTAAGCCATCGGTAATTCATCATTCTTATTGCCTTCATTCAAGAAGATGCAAATCTAACATTTATAGGTTCTCATTGGTTTAAATCAGGGGTGTCCAACCTTGGCAACTTTAAGACTTGTGGACTTCAACTCCCAGAGTTCCTCAGCCAGCAAAGCTGGCTGAGGA